AAGGATGAGTGTGCCTATGGCATGGACGTCCTTGAGGATAGGCAATTTGAGATTGAGTGTCTTGCGGGTGCCATACTGCTTGCCCTTGAAAGAGACCAAGATGCAATAGACATCCCGACTCCGCGCTCTTACGCAGAGGCGATCACGGGTCAGTACTCCTCTCAGTGGCAGACAGCCATGGACGCAAAGATGGCATCCTGGGGGTCCACAGGCACTTATGTCAACGCAGTTCCCCTAGCTGGGGCGAACATAGTTGATGGCATGTGGATTGAAAGGGTGAAGCGGCCCGGGTTTTCTGCCTGTCTTCAAGGCGCGTTACGTTGCACGAGGCTTCAGTCAGCGACAGGGGGTCGACTTCTTCCATACCTTCTCCCCCACCCCGAAGATGACCACTCTTCGGGTGTTACTACCGTATTCCCCTGGATATAAGACCCTAGGGTCTTATGCTAAATCCCTTTGAAAAAATGGGGGGGGGGGGGGGGGGGGGGGTCTTAACAAAGGAAAAAAATTTATACCACCCGGGTCTTATCATACTTTTTGTTCTGAACAATACAACAAATACTGATGCTGAGGGTTTGCTTTTGGTGAGTATAAAGCCAGCGGATCGTCTATGGCTTGACATGCTACCAGGTGGCTCTGGTTTGGATTCCCACTCATGGCATCAACCGTCGTGTCGTGCCCCCTATCGAACCTAAAGGCTAGGCCTGGTGGTGCTCACGCACTTCGGCGAGGGGGGATGCACCACTGACCCAGCCTGGCACGTCCCTTTCGTCACGACCAACGCGCGGGTTGGGGTTCCGCGCCTTGACACCCTCCCCCCTCACATTTCTTCCTTATGCTCGGCTCGCTGTGAGACAGACATTCTTCACGTCACAATGTCCCTCATCCCATTTGTACAAATTCCAGCACATCGTGTCTCACCACATCGTCGCTCCCATGGCGTCAAGTCCAGACTCCGGCATAGCGCACATTAGGCGCCGACGGGCGCAAGCTAGCACCCGTTAGGCTACTCCAAGGATTAGCCCTCGTCCTTCTCTCCCGACTCTGACTTCTAGCAATCCATCAAGCAGCTCCGGTGCCTCCGACTCGGAAGAATCGCGGCGTCCGTTGCCTAGCGTGCGCCTGCCTGCTTTCCCTACCCAAACCAGGCCGCAAGGTAAGAAGAAGAGGAACGCGGATGTGCAGATGACTTCACCACGTCATCGCATGTCGAAGAAGAAGCGTCACGCGTACACGGCAACAGAAAAGCTTCACTGGCCGAAGATGCAAGAGCTTCAGCCAGACCTTTCCAATCGCAAGCTCGCGTGGATGGCGAACGTGCAGCCGTGCCAGATCCGAGGGTGGAAGAAGCTCGCTGAGAGGCTCAAGGTGGCCGCGGGTTGTCGCTGTCGCCTCGGCGGTTCCATGGAACGTGCCGTCTATTGGCAGTTCTTGGCTGCACGTTCGAAGGGCCTGCCCGTATCGATTGTGCAGATTCAAAAGTGGGCCGCACTTGGATGAAGCACCGGCTTCCTGGGGTGACATGGAAGGCTTCTTCGCGCTGGACATTCCGATTCCGTCGCCGGTGGTCTCTGGCTAGGCGAGTCAAGACCAAGATGGGCCAGAAGTTGACCGCCGGTAAGCATTGGTTTAATCCCACATCGATCTGCCCTCGAACTCCTCCACATCCTTCTTGATTCGTGGCATCTAACGATTCTTTACGCTTTTCGTTTTTGTGCATGGCAGATTGCAAGCCAAAGGCGGAGTCGTTTTGGCAGTTCGTGCGTCAGATGCGCACGCTCCACGATTACCCTCCGAATCTCATAGTTAACGTGGACCAGACCCCGATATTTTTGGAGATGCCGTCTGAACGCACGCTCGAGATGAAGGGTGCGCGCACAGTCCAAGTGCGCTCTGCCGGCTATGAGAAGGAGCGACTCACCGTCATGCTGGCGGTGACGGCGGGTGGAATGAAGCTGCCTCCCTACGTTGTTTTCAAGCGGAAGACCCTGCCGAAGATCCCTATTCCCGAGGGTAAGCACTTAATTGTGTGCTCAGTTCATTGAAACCGTTCACTAATGTCTCGCTTGTGCGCATTGCAGGCATCGTGGTGCGCGCCCAAGCCAAGGGATGGATGGACGAGTCCTTGGTCCAGGACTGGACCACTCAGGTCCTTGTCCCCTTCCTGCGTCCTTTGCGGGAGGGAGGGGGTCGGCGCAGGGAGGCTCTCTTTACGCTGGACTCCTATCGTGGTCACCTCACGGAATCCGTGAGGCAGACCATGAGGATGTTCAGGATCACCCGTGCGGTCATCCCGGGAGGCTGCACTCCGCTCCTGCAGCCTCTTGACGTGGCGATTAACCGCGCCTTTAAAGCGGGGATGAGACACTGCTATGCAACGTGGTTCGAAGAAGATGGCGTGAACCACAGGACCCGCGCTGGTGAGTTCATGTTGTTTGCCTCGTCCTTTTTGTAAAGTGTCCTTTAATCTTCTAACGATGTGTCTTCTTTGTTGTTGCTTGCCGGGAACCTGAAGAAACCACCGGCAGAACTCACCCTCCGGTGGATCGATGAGTCATGGAAGGCCGTGCTGGAGGAGCTCGTCAGGAAGGCGTTCTTAACGTGCGGCATCTCCAACGCGCTGAACGGCGACCAGGACCACCTCATCCTCGCACACCTGCGGGACAAGGCGAATATCAACGTCTTGGAGGACGTGCAGGAGGAGGAGGACGTGACTCATCCCAACCCCTTCTACGAGGACCCTGAGGAGGTCGCGGCGCGAGCCAGCCCCCAGACTGCAACGGAGCAGGAGGTGCATGCTGACAGGAGCCTGACTGACGAGGAGGACAACGCTCACGAGGAGGACAACGATGACGAAGATATGGCAGACCAAGACTACGCTGACGAGGCAGATGAGGGATTAGAGGGAGCCACCGGTGGTGCATGTGGTGATTCTGACCCGGAGGATGAGTGGTGGGCTCCTGGCCGCTATGAAGGGGAGGAGGTGGAAGTGTGGGTTGCGGGGGCTGATGATAGCTAGAAGCTATGTTAGAACGAACCAGTTGATGCTCTAGATAGGGTGCAGCACTTGATGTGTAACATAGTAGTCGTTTTCCATGCTAGAATCTGTTGTTTCCTGCTCTGTTAGTGTTTTTTGCCTGGAAAAGTTCATCAGAAACCCCCCTCTAAGGGAGAGGGGGGGTCTTTTATTAATTACCCCCCAAAAGGGGGGTATAACGATAAAGTGGTTAAATAAAAGACCCTCCTCGTATTAGGTACCCGGGGGTGTTGCATTTTGGGGGGGTCTTCTATACGAGGGAATACGGTACACGTTGCAGCACAGCACGACTTTGAGCTCCACTCACTTAAATTCAGCATAGCTTTTTTGCAAGGCAGCCTACACGATGAGATCTGACTACCCCGCCCACCTGGCCTTATAGAGTCGTTTCCTGAGGGTATCGAGGGGAGCCTCCAGCAGCCAGTCTACAGTCTACGCCACAGGCCTCGCGAATGGCACGACAAATTGAGGACGACGCTTGCGGCTCTTGGGTTTGCTCCTTCGACTGCTAACCCGTCGCTGTTTCTGCGCACCGACACTTCTCTGCCGCCGTTCTACATCCTCGTGTACGTCGACTACTTGGACTTTGCTGCTGCTGACACTGAGGCACTGGCCCTTGTGAAGTCGAAGCTGCAGAAGAGACACACCTGTGTTGACCTTGGTGAGCTGCGCAGCTATCTTGGCTTGCAGATTACCCGGGACAGAGCACGTCGCACCATCACTCTGACTCAGTCACACATGGTGCACCAGGTCCTTCAGCACTTCGGCTTCTAGTTCTCCTCGCGATAATCCACTCCTTTGCCTATAGGCCACTCGCTCTCAGCTCCACCTTAGAACATGCCTGTAGAGCCGAGTGGTCAGTATCCAGAGCTTGTGGGCTGCCTCATGTAACTGATGACCTGCACTCGACCAGACTTCGCATACCCTATCAGTATCCTGACAGTCCTATTCTGCTACACATGAGTTTCGCTGGCTGGCGTACATGCTTACTGACCTGGGAGAGCAGCCTCGTTCTCCTCCAATTCTGTACGTCGACAACAAGGCCGCCATTGCCTTGTGTTAGGAGCACAGACTGGAGCACAGAACGAAACACATCGCTCTGCGGTACTTCCTTGCTCGAGAGTTGCAGCAGCGTGGTCAGCTTCGTCTTGCTTACATGGCACTAGACTAGTGGGTTGATATTAGTGTAGAACGCAGTAGATCGCGGGTTTGAATTCGGTGAACGGAAGTAATAAATCCGTGCCCTGAATTGGATTAGATGAGCAGAGGTTATTGCCCGATATCAAGGCCGAATTTCCCAAGTACACTTGTACTCGAATCAGCGTGGTCCCCATCACTATACTGATTGAACAGTATTAGCAGTACACCACTACACTAATTTGTCAGTGTGATTTGAAACATTAAACTGAAGATCCAGTGCTGCCGATAAGATAGACTGGATACTATTTTTTTAGGGACAAGGAAAATCGCAGCTTCAAAATCAGCCTAATCAGCGTGTTTTACGCTGATATCTGAGGGTCTGCTTATGGCCTTCGAATTGTGCTCAGACTGTCTAGTGACTTCGTGATTCACCCTAAGCTTTGTTTTGCTTTGCTCTCTTGCTTGACTGGCCTTATAACCATAGGTTGTTCTTGTTATCCCCCACGTTGCCCACAGGAGTGCGTCAAACTACCTTTCTATCTTTGTAGGCTGTATTGGGGTAGCCTCTACTGAGTACAACACTTTAGGGGTACTTGTACCCATCTCATCTCATGCTTCTAGTCAACCATTCCTGCTCTAGATTCTGACTCCTAATACACTGACATAACCAGGTTAGGTTTATTTTTACCCTGTTTTTTACCTTAGGAGTCAGGGTTGGCCCAGCCTGGAACTCTGATTCGACATCTACCAATAATGCCTATCCACCTACACATCATCCTCAAAAGTACATCAACAAACACAGTACACTCATCCATTCGCATGACTACCACTTGTCGAAATTCACGGACGCATAGCCGGCATAGAGCCTTCCACTTGTGGCCTTGAGCTCACTAATGAGGCGGTTCCAGTTGGAGCCCAGCGCGCCCACAAAGAAATCCGCCTGCGATGAGATGAGCAGGTTCGCCAGGCTGATCCCCGCCAGCTTCGCCACTCCTGCCGTCTGCTCATACTCAAAGATGGAGGTTGTGCCGTTCTGCCGGGGGTTCGTGGAGTAGAGGAAGGCCCAGTCCTTGTACTGCTGTGACTGGTCTATCACGCTCTGAAAGGGAGAGATAGGGGGGAAGAGAGGGAGGAGGGTGGGTGGGAGAGCGAGAATGAAATGCGATGATTGTTGGGTTTACAGGGGAGAGGGAGGAGAGGGGAGTGGGGAAGTCAAAGAATTGAACGAGATGAATGGTGAGTGAATTAGGCAAGTGGAGCAGAAAGAGGCTTGGTTCTTGTATTGCAGTGACTGCTCCGCCCCACTCAGGAGGGACAGCGGGGCGGAGAAAGGGAGGCCACGGGAGGCACAATGGACTGGAAAGTTGGCATTACAAGGACAGGGGAGATGTGTGAGCCTTATAACTGCTGCCACTGATCCACCATCCTCCCATTGGAGGAAGGAAAGAGGGAGATTTTTGGCGCCGAAGGGGGGACATGTGGAGGAGTGAGTTGAAGCTCGACAGGGTGAGAGGACAAGGCAAACGAAGAAACGAGCAGCGAAGGAATTTCTGGAAAGAAGATCAATTCCATGCAGCAACGGCCCGTGGCTGACCTGCATTTCAGTGCTGAGCCAGACGTATTTGAGGAAGGGTACCCTGCGTCTGAGCCTGTTGGCCATGAACATGAACGAGGGGAAGGAGATGAGCCGCATCTCGCCCGCCTTGTCCCCTTGCCGCACGTGCATGCTCACACTCGGGCGCGGGATATACGGCTCGCCACCCACCCCCTCGTACACCGAGTCAGCCGCGTGCTTTGGCGCCTCGGGGTCCGTATGGTTGTCCAGCGAACACCCAGCATAGTCCAGGCCCGGCCAGACCTCATTCTCGAGGTTGGGCGCGGAGAAGTTCATGTGGGAGAGCGTGTTGATCTCCTGCCCGTAGTTGATGGCCAGGCCCTTGTGCGCATCGTCCGGTTTGAGGGCTTTAATGATGGCGTCCTGCTCCACTGCTGCCTTGGCCATGTGGATGGCGACCTGCTGGCCGTATGCATCGCATTGTGCCGCACGCGGTTGGTGAAATGGCACATGTATGCCGACGGCCAGCGCAGCATGAAACGGATCGCCTGGGCTCGCCACCAGTGCACCTGGTGTGCGTGGGGTTGGAAGGAGGGGGGATGTAGGGGAGATGAGAGGAGGGAAGGGGAGAAGGTGACCTTCGAGTCGACTCAAAAGAGAATAAGGGGGCCTGTGGAGTGGAGTGGAGTGGAGTGGAGTGGAGTGGAGTGGAGTGGAGTGAAGAGGACTGGAGTGGACTGACTGGGCGAATCTTAGCATCCATCAAAGCATGCAAGAGCAGAGCCGTGTAGAGTAGAGAGTGACCCGAAGCGCAATGAACAAGGCCATGGCCAGGAGGGTATCGGGTTGCATGAAGCATTTGAGCTTCATCACAGCTCAAAACCCACCCGTCACTGCATGGGGCTAATCGGCTGCATGAAGTGCATCAAGTCAAGCAAACACCATACCCAGCCCCTCACACACGCTCCTGTGTGTTGAGCCGTCACACACCCCACGTGTAGAACATAACACACACAGCCCACCTGTGGCCATGACACACCCCACCTGCGGCCATGACACACCCCACCTGCGGCCATGACACACCCCACCTGAGGGCATGACACAGCGAGCCCACTTGGCGCTGCGCGGGGTTGACGGGCTGCATGGAGCCGGTGAGCTCCACTTCGTTGGGCCGCTGCAGGTACGCGTCGCCCCACTCCCTGCCACGGAAAGACCGACACGGTTACCGGCATGGGGAGCAGGAAAGGAAGAGGGGAGGCCAGGGGCAGAGGCCCGGGGAATGTGTTGAGTCGACTCAAGGAGAGGGGGGTTGTTGTGAGTGGGATGAAGAAGTTGTAAGCTTCACCACCGTTGTCGGTACGTGTGGTCCGGTGGAGCTCCCTAGGAGGGGGGGAGACAGGGGGAGCGGCGAGGCCTGGGGAGGGGGAAAGGAAGTGGGAAGGGAAGGGGGAGAAAGGGAGCGGGAAAGGGAGGCGGAAAGGGACGGTAAAAGGGTCGAGGAGGAGGGAGGAAAGGAGGGGTAAAAGGAGGGAGAAAGGGAGGGGGAAAAGGAGGGAGAGAGGGAGGGGGAAAAGGAGGGAGAAAGGGAGGGGGAAAGGAGGGAGAAAGGGAGGGGGAAAAAGAGGGAGAAACGGAGAGGGAAAAGGAGGGAGATAGAAAGGGGGAAAAGGAAGGAGAAAGGGAGGGGGAAAAGGAGGGAGAAAGGGAGGGGGAAAAGGAGGAGAGGAGAGCACCGCTCGTGCCATTGCAGCCTTTCAGCAAGGTGCCTCTTGAATCAACTCACATGTCCCAGCAACGACTCATACGCATCCTAGCGCACAGCACAGCACAGCACAGCACGAGTCTGTCTGCCTGGCGGGATGAGCCTCTGGGGCGGCCAAGAAGATGTGCTCCGTGCACCTTGGGGGAAGTACCCATCATTGATTCACCTGCCTCCTCATCACAGACGGAAAAGTTGTCATCTCGTCCTTCTTGGCGCGCGCATACCACAAGCTGTGTGCCTTGAATGTGTGTAGCAACCCTCTTACAGCAACCACCCAGCCTAGCGCACCTGGCAGCATCGCTGCGCAGGCGAAGGAAGTTGTAGTCGTCGTCGTTGGCACACACCACAGGGCTGTCCGACCTCAGCGCCCCCTCCAGCCCGCGGAAGTCAGCGCACGGCGGGATGCGGCCCGCCTTGTGCTCCGCCATGGCCATGTCCTCGCACTCCCTGGATACCATGGGGAAGAAGTAGCACTCGAAGGTTGACGCCTTGCCCAGGGCTGCACGCGGTGCGTTGGGACGGACGGAGATGGGAGGGGAAGGGGGAAGGAAAATGGGGACGGGGGGACAGGGGCGGGGACGGGGAAGGTGGAAGGGGGAAGAGGGAAGGGAGGGGAAGGAGGAAGGGGGGAGCGGAGAAAGGGAAAGGGGAACAGCGAACAGGGAAGGAGGAATTTGGAAGGGAGAGCCAGCGACAGGGAAGGAGGAAGGGAGAGCCAGCGACAGGGAAGGAAAAGAAGGGGTGAAGGGATGAGTTGGCAGTCGTCGCAATCGTTGCCCCACTGGGAGAAAGATGCAGCACCCACACATGGGCGCCTTGACCACCGTGGAAAAGGGGGGAGGAGAGAGCACGGATGGAGGTACGAGGGCGAGAGAAAGGGCATCTCGGTGTGGTCATGGTTACCACTCACGCTGCCCCTCACGTGTACCTCCCCCACATGCTGCTGCCTTGCAACCCACTCGACGCCCGCCCACCCACCCACCCACCCACCCACCCACCCACCCGTCCACTTAGCCTCCCACCCAGCAAGCAAGCGACCCACCTTGGCACTCGGAGTGGTTGGCGCGCATGTAGGAGTCGGGCATGGGCACGAAGGTGCGGTTGTAGCTGACAGCGAGGCTGAAGAGCGCCGTCATGATGTGCACCTGCGACCCCAGCCCGTGCCGCTCCAGCGGTGACCACTCGATCAGCACCAGCCGCCGCTCCCGGCACGACGCGGGGAACTGCCACTCCCACAGGTCGCGCTGCGCCCGCCACGTTGCCGCCAGGTTGCCCGCGTCCGACCCGCGGATCTGGGCGCGGGGATAAGCGGGGAGGGGGGATTGGGGGGGTTGCGCAGGAGGCGGAGGGGGTGAGGGGAGAGATTGCGGTAGGGTGAGCGGGGAGGGGAGGGGGAGGGGGAGTTTGCGAAGGCGGAGAAAGACAGAGGAGGGGGTGATCGTGGTATGAAAATCAGGGAAGGTGGTGGGGGGGAAAGAGGGGGGGAAAGAAGGGGGAAAAGACGAGGGAAAGAGGGGGTGTGGTGTGGAGTGACGAGCATGGGCGGGGAACGGGGGAAGTCGGAAAAGGGGGAGAGCGTGAGGCGTCAATGCGGCCTACGAGCAGCCCTCCGCCACCTATGGTGAGTGAGGAACTATGATCTGTTTCCAAGAGCGTCCAGGCGTGATCCACCCAGGGCGGCTGCGGCACCCAGCCGCACGCCTCGGACGAGGTGGACCACTTGGGCAACTCCCCACTGGCCGCGCGCTTCTCCGTTGCCTCGCGGAACGCAGTGCGCGCCGCGCAGTCCTCCAGGTGCGGCAGAGGGGGGACGTTTGGCGGAAGAGAGATCTTGGCGGGCGGGCGGATCGTGCCTTCCGCCAAGTCGTACGCGCGCTCCCACGCCTGCGGGGGAGGGAAGGAAGAAAGGCGGAGGGTGCGGGGGGGAGGCGGAAGGTGGGAAGTAGGCGGCACGAGGAGGAGCGCTACCAAACGGAGCGAGAGGGGCACTTTTGACAATTCTCAAAAGTGATTCCCAAATAGTTGTGCGGCATGGGATTGCGGAAACGCAAGGCGTGAGAATTAGAGTATCAAGGCACAAACGAGCCGCGCCGATGGCTATCTGCCAGGCAAGGAGGACTCTTGATGCGAACAAGAAGCTCCTTGTGCATGGTGAGGCTTCCTGGAAAGTTCGCCGAGGTGAATATACTCCACCAACGACCGAATGTAGGTAAGACCGGCATGGGGAGAACACGGGTGTGCGACTCGCGAGACAGACAATGCGACGCGCGACTCACACGATAGAGAGACATGGCATGCTCGAGGTCCGACTCACACGATAGAGAGACATGGCGTGCTCGAGATCCGACTCCATGCCGAAGATCACGGCAGCTGGAGGAACCTCCGCCGCACATCGCACCGCGATCAGTGCTGCAATGACAGCTACCAGCGGTGGCACGCTCAATAGTTTCTTCATTGCTGCTGGCAGAAGTACAATCTTTTAATGGTTTGTCTAATGCATCGCACGGAGAAATGCGTTTCCCCAATTTGCGGGATAGGTGCTTGGTGTCAACCGAGAATAAGGGACCTGCGAATCAGCAGACCATAAAGGAAAGGCGCATCCCAAAAATGTCGAAAGGAAAAATAGTAGGTGAAATCTGATCGTGCATATCCATACCGTTTGTATCCGCACAAACAGTCAGCAGATGTTCCATGTACCCTTTGAAAGCGCATACAATAGTATAGTAGTTTTGTACAATATGCGTTTCAGTTGTACTGTGTTTGTGTGAATTTCAGAAATTCACAAAGGATAGTTCTACTTTGCGGTAAGTGACGGTTAATTGGGAGATGGGAAAAATGCTCGTCTTAGAATTCAACCACATTCAATGATTTCATTTCTTGCATTGACCTATGTATTTCGGAACACGGGTGTCAAAAACTGGACTGCGTATTCATTGATGTGGATTGGGGTACATATAGCAACCCTAATATTTGTACCCCCTAAGACAAGCCTCACTACAGGCTACAACATTTGACACACCCCCATAGCCTAAGTGGAGGGTGTCTAGCAAAGACAAAAGAGTACGGTCACAAGACCAGTCACAAAGAAACAAAGCTCAGAGCATCCGCTGGAGGCAGACCTGTGAATGCTTCATTCGCTCCCCTCTATGTATCCGGTCGGCTGCGGTGACAAGGGAGGAAGTGCTGCAGGAGCGGGTGGTTTTTCAACACGTGCATTCTGCTTAACGGAACCACTCCCGTCGGAGGGCAGAAGGACGCGAAACAGCTGCGAGAGCTCAGGCTGGGAGATTTGTTAGAGGAGGGAGCTGATGTCGCTATCCATGGCGGAGTTGACTCAGAGGCTAGGAGGAAGCGGTCCTGCGAGGCTAGCAACAAAGGCACTGGGCACTGCTCCTGCTCTGTGGCTCCGTGCACTGGGGTTTCCGACGGTGCTCCCCTGCTCGGTGGCTCTGGAGGGAAGCTAACGGGCAGTTGATCTCTTTTGCGGCAAATGAGGGAGGCTTGGACGGGAGTTCACATGCAGTCATACAAGCAGCAGAAGTGGGCAGAACGTTGGAGCGGGCAGATTAATTGGAAATGGGTGATCCGGACAAAAGACTTGCTGGCGGTCCCCAGCCGTCCACGTGATGTGCTTATCTGGATCCACGGTCTAAATTTACAGGTGGGGGAGCGGCTGGCCTTCCTCAGCAGCAAGGCCATCTGTCTATACTGCGAGGAGCCTGAGACCCTGGAGCACTGCCTCGTTTAGTGCCCCCGCATCCAAGATGTCATCACAGCTCTTCGATGTGCCCTGTGCATGTTCAACCCCAACCGTGCAACGGCCACGTTGGGCGACCTCCTGTTCCGGAAAACCAGCACCAGCTCAGCTTTTCTGGAGCTCACCATCACGGCAATCACCTTTCACCAACTGTGGCTGGAGCGCTGTGATGCTGTATTTCGGGGCGAAAAATTCCGAACGCAGCAGCTGCTGCACAAAATCGAATTCACTTTCAAGCAACATGCAAAAATTTACCTTCGCAAGTTCGGGGTGACGTGGCGGAAACAGAAGCAGAAGGGTCAGACAGAGGAACAAAGGCTGCTGCAGAAGATAAGGCAGGAGGGTAGCGGTTGGAAATGGACAACTGCTTTCGCGGTGATCTAGTCCAACAGGAGGGCTCGGCCCTCGGTGTCTCGGCTGGGGCGGTAGTTTTCGTCTAGTGTTCCTTAAGCACGGTTACGACCGTCTTTGGTAGCATATACTTGCTCTTCGGTGTATGCTTATTTAACAATCTAAAAAAAAAAACAGAAAAAAAAAAGCAAACAAACAAAACAAAACAAAACAAAACAAAACAAAACAAAACAAACAAACCAAAAAAAAAAAGCAAACAAAACAAACAAACAAACAAACAAAGCTCAGGGTGGATCACAACGTCACCACACATTCCGAACGCAAGCAAAGGGCCACATGGTCAGTTCAAGAGTTCACAGGTATATAAGTAATGAGTACAAGACAACAAGCAACCACTAGGCAAGACGGCAACCAGAGCCAACGAGACCTAACTGCACACAACACCTGTGGTGGTCACAAGGCGGAAGCGCCTTGGTGAAGATGTCGGCAGTGTTGGCCTCGGACTCCACAAAGTCCAAGCGAGCCTGTCCACGCCTCTGCAACTCTCGCAGAAGAAAGTACCTGACGTTGATGTGCTTCACTCTTTTCTCCAGTCGAGGCTCCCGATAGAAAAGAATCGCCGCCTTGTTGTCAGTGAACAAGGTCGGTGCAGAGCTCGGCCGCTCACCAAGGTCGGTGAGCAAGAAGGTTAACAACCACAACTTCTGTACAGCCATGGCTCCAGCGTAGAACTCAGCTTCAGCAGTAGAGGTCGAGACTGTGTCAAACTTATATGTATGTTATATAGTTGTGTAGGCTGTAGTGGGGTAGCTGATATGGGGTACAACCCCATTAGGGTTTCATACTTGTACCAAACCCTGACTAATCATTCTCATTCCTGTCTCTAGTTTCTGACATGGTTTCAGAGCAGTAGGTCCGTAGGACCGTTTTTTTTTTTTTTGGGTTGCGAAGCAACCTATTACAATCGTTATGTACAATTTTTTTTTCATCGTTATGAAAAAAAAAATAGCGAATCGTGGCTAAGTGATTCAGTGCTGTGTATTTGCCACGACAATTTAGCACGTGCCGTACCACATTCTTTCACATTTCCTAGGTAGTTCGCCTTGACTGGTAACCTATACTTTATCGATGAAACATAAACATGACTTGCCAAAATGATGTACCGTAACTGTGAATGCGTGACCGTTTATTCGGTAATGCATATGCCGTAAAAAATAATGTATAGATGAAGTATAATGATGATTGAGTGCAAAATGCATAAATATACATGCATATACGACTGTGGTGAATATACATGTGCTCTGTTTATTTCGGTATAGGTCCGGTGCAGTGAAATGAATGCATGGCATGATGGAAATGCGTGACAGTTAATTGACCCAGACCTTATGCTACCGCATCCCCTGCCTAGCATGGGGGGGAAGTCGATAGCATAGTTCCTGAATCATCCAACTGTTACATGAAACAACACAATCTGTGTAAACTAAAAAAATGATCAAAATCCATCAAATCCAGTTCAAGTGAACACACTCACTGAGTGGGCAAAGAACCTTCTCGAAAATGATAGCTGGACCATTTTTTTAAAATCCACAGATACGCATTGTTAATGCAATAGCAGGTGGATATGTATGAATATGCACACAGAGACACATACGCACACACGCACATACCGATATGCACACACAAAGATGAATCACAATCAGAAAATGAACCTAAAAGAAATCTAACATAACAATGCAGTAGCATCAATCATTAACATTTCAAACAAAAATCAAACAAAATCCTTTTAATTTCCACATTAGCCTCCGAACGTTATAGCGAAGACCCTGGGAGGGAAACGGGGGGAAACGTAGTGGGAAGGGAAAGGAACGGGGCAGAAGGGGCAGAAAAAAGGACGGAGGCAGAGACACATTAGAGAACTACGATACGACGGAATTACAGGATTTGAAACGTAGGCAGGTGGGGAAGAGAAGTACAAAGGAGAATAACGAATAAAAATACCAGATGTGATAATAACCGCATAGAGGAAACGCAATAATCTGGGCAAGGAAAGAAGAAAACATAAATGAGCTCGTATATAGTAGCGTTTTGATAGATACATAAACGAGCGAAAGAGTTTGACAGAGAGAGAGAGAGAGAGAGAGAGAGAGAGAGAGAGAGAGAGAGAGAGAGAGAGAGAGAGAGAGAGAGAGAGAGAGAGAGAGAGAGAGAGAGAGAGAGAGAGAGAGAGAGACTTCAATAAACTATGGCTTCTAAAAAAACATTCGTAGACTTATGAAAGACATATTCAAAAACCGCACGAAGGTAGGAGTGGAACCAATACGGAAGGAAGATAACATGCAATACGAGGACTATACGCGAGATGCGAGGAGAAGAAACATTGCAAGAAATGAGACAGAAAGAGCCTGTAAGTATGACAGAAAAAAACACACACACACACATAACTACGAGAAGATGGGGCACAGATACTAGAAAAACCGAAAGAAGAGCGTCTAAGCTGATAAGAATAAAAAGGAAGGAGGAAAACGACATGATAGAGAAATGAGAGGATAGTTCTAGGAGTTAAGAGCGTGAGCAGCACAGTTGGACTTACGGGAGAAGACACATTATTTAAGAACGACCTAACGGTTCCGTCGAAATGGACGATATCCTTAAAAACGATTAAGTTTCTAGATAACTTAGAACTTACTGGTTCAAATTAGAGAAAAGAACATGAACGAAACTGCTCCTAATATTTTCTTGAAGTCTAAAAAGAACTAGCAGACGTTAGTACGTACGCTAGTCCTTAAATTCTTACCTAGTAAGTATATGACTGCTGCAGTCGTAGGAGGAGCGGGAGTTGAGGGAGACGCGGGAGGAAACTAGGGCATTGACGATCCAGAAAGAGACGAAATGTTGGGAAAGGAATTCAATTTTCGGCTTCAATTAAACTTCCTTAGAAAATTTCCCGGAAGTTGAAGGTAGTTCTGTTAGAGCAGTGGTTTGAATATCTTGTTTCAATCCAATGGTCTCGGGTTCGGTTCTTGCCGCGGCCTTCTGTATCAATGCAACATTTTCAACGAGTACGTGTTTTTAATTTTTACCTCTCGAAGTCAGTTGTGGAAGCACAGTGGTATGGATTTCGAATCAGAAGCCAGTTGTCTCCGGTTGGATTCTTGCTGCTACCTTTTCATGTCAACACAATATTGGATATGTGTCATGTCTAAGAAATCTAGGAAAGTACGTAGTAGAACAAAATATATTATTTACAAATAAGCTTCGCAACCCTATGTCGACTTGGTCGCCTCTTGTTTTTTTTTTTTTTTTTTTTTTTTTTTTCGGGCCCACCTACTACTACCCCACGACTGTGA